TGAACACACGCTCAATGGTTTATTTTACAACACGAAGCTTGATTTGCTGTCTTTTTAGGTGAACCAATGTCTGTCTTTTCCGTCTCACTAGGAGTGGCAGCGAGCCGTCACCACGCCAGAGAAATTCCACACTACAGTGAGGGTACAGAACCGGATGACAAGCGCGAATTTAGATACGTACTCGTTTCGTTCGGTGTGAATTAAAACCGGTCCGTCTCTGACTCCCGGAGGCAAAAAGCCCTTCGTAGCAGTAAAAGAAATAGAGGTGGTTTCATCATTTGTGTTTACCAACTTGATATACAGACATCCATCATACCTAGTATCTACATATTATGACTGAACGACGATCAGAACTCATCTTCGTGCACACCAGGTGAGCCCTCCGATTTTATCCTATCTTGCGTGCGCGCTCACAAACAACGAGAAGTTCATCGGTGAACTACGTCTTCACCTTGAACTACAAGCTGTTGACGTGATTTCCATGAACAACATTTCTCCCATGTATTGAGTTTCATGTGTCTTTTTAGTTGTCAGTTGTACACTCAGAAATCATGAGATCCGAGTTTCACTTTTGTTCGAATTTGTCAACCGTGCATAGCCACCAGCCGATCTGAGACTTGAATTCCGGATTCCCCGTATGGAAGGCATATGTTACCAATGTGCCGAATGGCTCACATCAAGGCTGACCAGAGTAACCGACTATTTTTCAAATATCGTAGAAGTGATAGTTAGTCAGTGGACCTGACAAAATATGCTCAGGCATTATGCACGAATAGCCGCCCGACAGCAGGGTGACCGAGAGCTCAGCTCCCGGTGAGTTGGTGTCTAGCGTACGAATGCGGTACTGGTGCGGACTGAGTCATTCACACAACTCAAGAGCCAAGTTAATGAACCTGTACTCACCAGGAATGTATGGACCTCTGCACAATTAGAAACAGTCAGTGACGTATGAGCCCCCAGGGGCCACCGCTGATCATGCGCTACCTTCCTGTTGACTTGCAGTTAGCACTTGGATGTTCAAAGGTTAGAGACGTTACTTCAACCAAAATCTGGGTGACGCTGAGAACGTTTTTGCACCTTACTCCTAAGAAATTTCACGGATAATCGCCTAACCTGCTTCGTTAATCATAGAATGGCGTTTCCAGGAAGAAATACGCTGTGTTCCTCCAGTGGCTCAGGTGACAAATATGTGCACTGGATGCCTTAAATTACGAAAACCTTACATTGGATGCTGGAACGTTAGAGCACTTAGATGGCGGGAGTCGGGCGTCAACGAAACGCGCGCTACGTGACTATCCGCCGGACATCACATGTCTCTCTCAAGTCACGTTTGCAGGCTCCGGTTCCAAAAGTATCAAAATCTCTGGTACTGATAATTAATATTAGCAGTAACACAGTGGCAATGAAAGGATGGGTCAGCACGGAGTGACACCTGGTAAGAACGCTTTACGCTCCTGGAAAACCACATCCATTAGGATTGCAGTAGCACATGGCCATAAAGTATACCTCATAGATCTCGCTGTTTAAAATCCAACTCTCCCATCTAAAAACAACGTCAAAGATGAATTTTACAGCAGCCTTCAACCGCTTGTGAATAAAGTACCAAAATAGGGATTTGCTAGCCTCAGTTAGGAGTGGGAGGCTCGAAATGGCCCAGAAGGGGCCAAAAAACACATCAAAGGAAGGCTTCGCCTGGACCAGAGCTGTGGTAATGGCGAGAGGCTGCTCAGGTTCACCGATAATAATCGACCGTTTATCACTGGCACGCGGTTTCAAAATCGCAAAACGCAACGACGGACGAACAGCACGCCAATTAAATTACCTCATCCGCTCATGAGGGATTTCTTCGGTTGACGACTTTCGATCCTGTGGTCGGCTGAAGGTGGGAATAAAAGCGGATCTGATCACGTGCTAGTTCATATGAAATTTAGACTCTATATAACAACTCACAGAAAGAACTTCCCCTCAAAACGTTTAAATGTGCTTCCATTAGAAAGCAGCTGGAACTAACAAGCACCGATGCACACGATAACTGCACAATTATCGAATGAACCTATCACAAGGAAGCACAGAGTTCAAATGAAAAACAATGGTTCAAACTGAAGTCTTTAGTACAAAAAAGCTGCTCTACACGTACTAGGTACCGAGTCACGTCATCTGAAGAACTGAATATTCCATCACATAATCCAATTAGCTAGTGCGGTTAGAGGCAAGTCTAGTTCAGTCTTCCGCTTAACACGATTTCAGGCGAAAAGTAACACGATCTA